CCACTACCAGTAAGAGTGATAGATGTTGTGGTAGTGAACTTTTTCCTAGGCAGTGGGCCTCCTGAAAAAGAATGTCAAGTGAAAAAAAGATGTAGAGTGTTCTTAGCATGCAGGAAACACTTCAGGGGTCCAGCAGCACTTACCTGCTATGAGAACGTTGGTTCCCTTGAAGAATGCAAAGTTGGTCAGAACAGGTCATTTGCAACTGTTTGCCATGTATCAGGTATGTGGCACTATACAAAATATACATTTTAAAAATGTTCTTGATTTCAGGGCCAAACAAGTATAGGGGGAAAGGATAAAAATAAAAACAATGTGAATATGACAGTGTATGATTGACTCTTAATTGTGTGGCTAGTGTAAATTCTGTAGGGCTTTAAGGAAGAGGGAATCAGTGTGGACAGGAGTGGCTGAAGGAGACTCAATGGTTAAGGTTTGAAAGATAGGCAGGGTTTGGATACATCAAGTGTGTGTGCTTTTGCAAGTCAGGGATTTGGTTTTGCTTGAGTTTTACAGCAGAGCTTTGCAGTTTTGATGCTGAATAAATGTTTTAGTGACCCTGGTTAGGGAGTCAAAAGACCATGGGTCTGCTAGTCTTGGTCTCCCAAAGGACTGAGTAATCGTGTTATATCTTCAGTTTCCTCATTTGTCGAAAGAAGTCCCTTATACTAATATATATTTTTTTAATCGGAACAGCTAAATGTACCCTGCTAGGGGAATGCTACCCTCTAGTGGAAGAACTATGGTCCATACTGTCAAATAGGTCTTGCTTTTATCAAGCTGTTGGTAAAACACACATCATCCTTCCAGCTATTGAAGAAAGAAGGTAGACTAGAAGAATAATGGCTTGCCTTTGTGAAACATGTATAATTTCACAGTCTTATAGACACTTTGAACATTAAATCAGATGTTTAGAGAAGTGGAGGTTTTGATAGAGGTTTTCTTGTTAGCTTGTTGTACTATGATACTAAGTCTTGATGGTACTCATTCAATGCTTAATCCTGAGCAAACGAAGAGGGTTTTCCTGAGAATATTTATGATAATTTGTTTTAAAATTAGAATAACTGCATGAAACTTAGGAAATTTGACTAATAAACTGGACAGCCTACCTGGCTCCTTGTGACCTAATGCAGCTCATTCATTTCACCTTTGATCCAGAAAACACTTAGTGTGGTCATCTGATTTTCTTCATCAAATTTTCAGTACCTACAAAATAAAATATAAACTCAGATGTGGATTTCAATTCCAGCTCCACAAAGCTCTGAGACCTCGGGAAAGTTATTTAATACTCTGAGCCTTAACTTTTTCATCTGAAAAATTTAGGGATAATAATAATAATTTTATGTAGGGTTATGAGGATTAAGTGAGATTACAAACTATGAAATACATATTACATCACATTCTAGATATATACTAATAGGTCTAATTCATTATATTACCTCTTCATCCTTTTGCTCAATTTAGCTCCATCCTAACTGTTGAGCCTTATATTTGCTGTTACTCACCACCCTCCCTCAAGCACATGTGTGTTGACACAAGTGCATGCACGCACATATACATGCATGCACATCAGACTACTTGTGATTAGACTACTCATGTTCTCCTAAATATGGCCTGCACTTTTCTTCCTCCATGTTTTGATTTGCAGGTTCCCTCAGCCTTGAATGTCTTTCTCTCTCACCTCTTTAAAAATCCTGCACAACTTGTGAGACCCAACTCCTCACTCCCTGTTGTTTTCCTTTATCCTCTCATGTTACTTTTTTCCCATTCCACTTTAATGTGTGTCTTTGTTGTAGAAGTTAATATATAATGCCTTTTTTATGGTTATAGCTTTTTATGTGAGCCTCTCCACCAGACTGTAAGCTTCTTAGGAGCAGAGATCTGTTTATCTTGGTGCCTTACATATAGTAAGCACTCAAAAAAGCATTGTTGTTAAGGTCTTAAATGTCAAAAAAGCTCTTTACTTTGTTTTGATTTCTAGATTTAGATTAAGCATAGAAACATATTCATTATTGTTTTTACCATTGTGTATCCATGTGTTAGATGGTTGAAATAGCAAATTGGCTTTCAGTATTGTTTTAGTCTCTTGGCGATTCTTTAAGTTTCCTAGATTTTAATATCAAGAATAAAGGTAGTTATTAGGTAGAGATATTTTTCAGGAAAAGAAACCTTTATCCCACTCATAGAAGTCTGAAAATAATTTAGTGAATTAAGAACAGGATTGAGCTCTGGCCAGTTCGGCTCAGCAGTTAGAGCGTCGGCCTGCGGTCCAGAGAGACCTGGGTTCAGTTGCCGCTAAGGGCACATACCTTGGTTGTAGTTTGTCCCCGGCCCTGGTTGGGTCGTGCGGGTGGCAGTCACTCGATGTGTTCCTTTCACGTTGATGTTTCTCTCTCTCTCTCTCTCTCTCTTCCCCTCCCACTCTGTCGGGAAAAAAAATGTCCTCCAGTGAGGATAAAAAAAAGAACAGAATTAAGTAGGGATTTCATTGAGGTAATACAATCAACTTGGATGATAGGATTTGGGCTGTTTGGCTATGAATAGTCTTCGGAAGGAGAACCTATTCTGGAAAAGGGGTTGGGGAATTGAATGATTAAGTAGACAGTGGTCTGTATGCAGCGTGGAATACTGTGCAGCAGTTAAGAAGGAGGTGAATCTGCAAGCACTGGAGTTTTTGGAAAGATCTTATTCAATGAAAAAGGCAAGTAGAACAGTGTACACATCACTATCCCATTTATAAATAGTTCTTAATTATATTTTTCTGTGTATATTTATACTCATACAAAGCATAAATAGTATGTATCTTCTAACAAGGTCTTAAAAGATATATACCAAGTTCATAACCATGGTTACCTCTGAGAAGGAATGTGTGGATGTGAGAATTGAGCTACGAAGGTGGGCTTTCTGTTTTTTGTTTTCTTTGCTTCTGAATAGTTTAAATTCTTTAGCAGGAGAACATATTTATGAGTTGCTTGTACAACTAAAAAAATTAATGAGCCCTGGACGGTTTTGCTCAGCAGTTAGAGCATTGGCCCGCATACCAGAGAGGCCCGGGTTTGGTTCCTGCTAAGGGCACATACCTTGGTTGCAGTTTGTCCCCAGCCCTGGTTGGGGTCGTGTGGGTGGCAACCACTTGATGTGTCCCTCTCACATCGATGTTTCTCTCTCTCTTCCTCCTTCTTTCCCTCCCACTCTATCTGAAAATAAATGTAAAAATGTCCTCGGGTGATAATTTAAAAAAAAATTTTTTTTTTTAATGAAACACCAGAAAGGAACAGCATCAGGAACAAGTTTTAGGGGCTCTAAACTACAAAAGCAACCTCAGTACCAAATTTATTTTCATTTCATCATCCTTTTTTTTAGATTTTAGACCTTTGGACTACTGTCATTTCTTACACACTCTCACACACAGTGAGGAAGGGGGTAGTCGTAGTCTTCAGAATAATTTTTACAGTATTATTTTCAGCTGGCAGATGCAGAGCTGTAGTTTCACTTCCAGTTCCTTTTGCAAGTTTCTATTTAGGGAACCTTAAATCATTTATCTCTAAAGAAGTATCATGCCATTGCTTTTATACTATCTCATTCAGGAAGCTTTGGAGAGGGAAGTATAGACCATGAGGGAAGAACGTTAAACAGACTAAGGTTTGGTTTATTATATATCTCTTGTATTTGTATCTTTTTCCTGGGGAATTTCTTTACTCTGTGGCTCTGTATGAAGTCAATCAACAGACATATATTCTAGATTAATGGCAAAACCTGGTATTTGGGGTTTCAGCTAGGATAGTTAGTTCAATACATTAACCATTAGTTAAATCTTATACCTAGTTAGCCTAGTTCTGTTCTGCAGTTGTCAGTCACGCCATTAACTCTAGCAGACATTTTACAAATGTAAAAAAATGTACATCTAGTTAAAGAACACTTCGATGGATCATTACAAATCTGTCACTACATTGTAAGTACCTTAAATATCAACTCAACTTTTATATCCTTAACAGCAGTTTCTAGTTTTATTTTAAATAATTTTTGTCTTATTCATCACAAGTTCAGTGAAGATTACAGATAAGCAAAGGGAACATTCAAACACTCTCAAGCTCTTCCCATCCTTTCCAAGTTAACTGCTGTTAACATTTAATAGAAAAAGAATAAGGAAGGTGAATTGGACAAGGGAGAAGAAAAAGTAAGGAGTTCTATATATAATGTTTGTTGAATAGGGAGTAAAGAAGCAGATGTAGAAAAAGCATTTTTGAAGAATTCTCTGTATAGAAAAATTTAAGAGCAGCTTGTATATGAGTTTTAAGATCAGTGTATGCCCATTTTAAAGCAAATGAGAATCTAAAATTAACAAGAAAAACAATTAGAATAATGAAATCCTTGCTCTTGTCCTATCTTGGGAATTTCACAGATGTCTAGGTTGAGAAAGGAAGACAGTTCATTTCTTCCTTACATTCCTCATTCTTTATCATAACAGAAAGTCCCTGGAGATTTCTTTTGATAACTAGCAGTGTTATTCTAAAAACAAAATTCAGTGCGTTTTTTTTTAGCAGACCTAGGATTCGTCTGGGCTCTGGACCTCTAAACCTAAAGCTGTTGTGGCATTTAAATGAACAAAACAATTCTCTAATTTTGTATTCTGAGTTAATTATCTTAATGCTATAGCTGTGCCCACTCTCTCATTCCTGTGCATTCGCAATTGGGAATTTGGTGGGTTTTCTTCTAAAAAGTACTTTATTAAAGTCAGAAATATTAGAGCATAGTATATCTTACTTTATAGCCTACCACATTATAGTACTTCTAAGGAGGTTTTAATCAAAATTAAAATGTAAAAAAGTCTGAGATGGAAACGTATAAACATTTAATTTTAAAGCCCTAACTTTAAAATATGTTAGAATGATGACAGAATAGATTTTAAGTTGGTGAAACTTTTTTCAAGATTTGTTGCCTTGTGTTCTTTGCCAGAGAAATTTTTCAGAGAGTAGGTTCATAATTCCTTTCTTTTTCAGATTGCAAAAGTTGAGAAGCTGAAACCTTTAGAGGTGGAGCTACGACGCCTAGAAGATCTTTCAGAATCTATCGTTAATGATTTTGCCTACATGAAGAAACGAGAGGAGGAGATGCGTGATACCAATGGTGAGAGGAAGGCAGCTCTTGTTTCTCAATAAGTGAACTATAAAGGAATCAGACTGCCAAATTTTAAATTCTGGTGTACCATTTTCTTCATTTTGCCAAGGGTGGTGGTGGGGTTGGTGTATGGGAAGATAATTGCTAGCTTCAGTATTGCTTCTACAGGGAAATGAGCCTTGTTAGATTTTCAAGGGAATAGAAATTTCTTCCATGTTATGCATTTCACCATATTCTCAGTTAGCTAATCATGTCTCAAATTTATAGTACTAATCTTTGTAATTTTTAACATTTATATATAGAATAATGAAAATTTAAGAAAAAGCTATTGAAATCCTTCTGGTAGGCTTAGGGACAAAGTGAAGATAATTAATTGCCTTTCCTCCCTGGCTATTGTTTAGCCTGCTGAGCCTCAATTCATTACATTTACATCGCTTTTGTTTTGTTTTGTTTTGTTTTGTTTTAGAGTCAACAAACACTCGGGTTCTGTACTTCAGCATCTTTTCAATGTTCTGCCTCATTGGACTAGCCACGTGGCAGGTCTTCTACCTTCGTCGCTTCTTTAAGGCCAAGAAGTTGATTGAGTAATAAGGTCTACTCTCCTCCCACCTTGCATCTCAGCCAGCAGAACATCACTGGGACGTGCCTGGCCTAAGGCATCCTACCAACAGCACCGTAAAGGCACATTGGAACTTTCTTGCCAGAACTGATCTCTCTTGGTGTGGGAGGACATGGATTACCACCTACACCCAACAAGTCATTGAGGGACTTCTTTTTAACTTGATAGGATTTGGACTGGTTTTACAACAACAGGACTATTATTAGAGTCGCATATGACAAGAAATAGGGGTTACCTAGATAATGCCAAAGCCAGCATTTGTACTGGGTTTCCTCATGTGATCTGTTTGAACCATGTTTTCTTTCCTTCTTCCACTTGCTCACCAGCTTGGGCTTCCACTCTAGTTCCTTTACCAAGATTTGAATGAATATGTGAAACTTGTTTCTTTCTGATCGTCCTCTTTGGATTTCTGCGTGAAAACACCCTTAACTTTATCTTAACCCTTAGCTGAAATGTTTAAGTAGCTTCTTGTGGTATCCTTTCATAATTTTATGTCTCCTATAAGGGTGATGGATGTGACACCTCTAGAAATGAGCTTTGAATTACAGATAACTCTTAAAGAAAATTTTATTTTAGAGAATTAAAATGTTTGTGCCCAACTGCTTGAATTTTTTTTTTGTATATTTAGTTCTGTGCAGTTTTATTACATGTGTACATTCATGTGACCACCACTGCAAAATGCAGAAAAGTTCCATCACATGGATCCCTCATGCTACCCTTTTATAGCCACAGCCACCTCCCTTCCTTACCCCTAAGCCCCAACATTTGGCAACCAATGATCTGTTCTCCATCTCTTTAAATTGGTCATTTCAAGAATGTTATACAAATGGAATCATATAGTAGGTAACCTTTTGAGATTAATTTTTTCACTCATCATAATTCCCTTGAACTCCATCCAAGTTGTTGCATGTATCAGTAGTTTGTTCCCTTTTATTACTTAGTATTTTGTGGTATGGATGTACCACTGTTTAACCATTTACCCATTGAAGGACATCAGGGTCATTTTCAGTTTTTGGCTATTACTAATAAAGTTTCTGTGAACATTCATGTACAGGTTTTTATGTGAACATAAATTTTCATTTCTCTGGGATAAATGCTCAAGAGGGCAATTGCTGGGTTGTATGGTGAGCACATGTTTATTTTTTATTTTTATTTAAAAAATTTTTTTCTTTATTGATTTGAGAGGAGAGGGGGAGAGAGAGAAACATTGATTGGCCGCCTCCTGCATGCCCCCACTGTGGATTTGGCCCACAACCTGGGCATGTGCCCTCACTAGGAATTGAACTAGCAACCTCTTGGTGCCTGGGTCGACACTCAACCACTGAGCCACACTGGCCAGGACATGATTATTTTTTTTAAACCGCCCCACTGTTTTCCCAAAGTGTGCCATTTTACTTACATTCCCACCAGCAATGTATGACCAATCAGGTTTCTCCACATCCTCACTGGTATTTGCTGTTATTACTATTTTTTTTTTAATTTTAGTCATTCTGATAGATGTGTGTCATGAGGCCTCATTATGATTTTTATTTGCATTTTCCTAATGGCTAACAATGTTAAACATCTTTTCATGAGCTTATTTGCCATGAGTATATCTTCCTCGGTGAAATATTTGTTCATGCTCTTTGCCCATTTTCTAATTAGATTATTCTTCATACTAATGAATTTTGAGAGTTCCTTTTATGTCCTACATACAAGTCCTTTGTCAGGTATGTGGTTACTTGAATTTTATTTTTTATCCTCACCCGAGGACATTTTTCCATATTTTGTTCAGATAGAGTGGGAGAGAGAGAGAGAAACGTTGATGTGAAAGGAACACATCGAGTGGCTGCCACCCACACGACCCAACCAGGGCCTGGGACAAATCGCAACCGAGGTACATGCCCTTAGCGGGAACTGAACCACGTCTCTTTGGACCGCAGGCCGACGCTCTAACTGCTGAGTCAAACTGGCCAGGGCAAATTTTTAACGTAACATCTATCAAAGAAAAAAATTAGAAAATTTACCAAGTCTTACATGGCTGTCCACTGACTTAATTCCTGTTCTTATGTGTGTCCCCGAGACATATGAAGTATTAAAAAGTAAACAAACTGGGAGGATCATCATGAATAGAGTAAATACTTGAGAATAATGTGAAAGCAAAGCCAAGAATCACTATATGAGGTGCCTAAAGGCCAATACTAAATATACCATGTTTGTAAACAGTTATGAAAAATACTATCACTTGTAATTTTCCCCACTTCTCCCAGGAAAGGAGATAGAAGTTTGTCCTTTCTATAATCTCTTTTTAACCGTGCTGACTGTTACAGGGCTTTTCTAATCCACAGTGGCAAGAATGACAGGATTTAGGGCCATGCAGCTTGCAGCTGAGAAGCAGCATATTGGAATTAACAGAGAACACTACTGTGATGACCTGGATAAAGTACAAAGGTGGAAGTGGGAGTGAGTTACGTTGTCAAATCTCAGGCTGTTCTGTTAATGTTCTAGCTATTGTAAACCCAAAAGACTTTTTTCCCTTCTTTTGACTCTGAATTTCTCTGGTATGGCATAAAAGTGGTTCATTAATTTGTGCAACATTGCCATCTGCTGTTAAGAATTGATAGGTACTGCTTCTGAGAACCTGGCAATGGAATCCTTGCCATAAAGGCAGCAGATGTTGAGAAAATCTATCTGTGGTAGTATATATACCAAACAACAGAAGATGCATCCAAGTAGAAAAGAGAACAACCAAATTTGTGGCTTAAGATCCATTCTTAGATGTTTAAAGGTGAAATTTTGTACCATAACCTAATAAGATACTCTTTCATATTTCTGACTGGTGCCTTTCCCCTTTTTAAAAGCAATGAAAGCTACTTAGTTGGTTATGGTACTCTGTTCTGATAAAATGTCAAAGAATAAAATAGAAGAAGCAAATATTTTATTTTGCTGATGTTTTTGACCCAGATGTGACTATGAAACAAAACTTTCATGTCCTTTTATTCATGCCAAAACTACCAACTCGGATGTTTGTTTTTGGTTTAAAGTTCACTGATATTACATATTGATGTTATCTAAAAAGTAAATTTATTTGCCTTTGATAAAAGGCTAGTGCAAGAACAAGTCATCTTTAAAAATGAGGATGTTATCTGGTTTCCTCTGTTTTTGAGCCTACTATTCAACACGGTCTCTATAATATAGATGAGAATGAGGCAGTTTAAGTAAGCTTTGTTATACCACTGTCGTAAACTGTCATAAGCCATTTTTCTGTTTGTTTAATGGAAAGAAGCATGGGATTTAGACTGATTCGCTTGTGTCGGATGGGGATTTTTGTGTAAATTTTCTCAAATAAAGGCTAGCAGAAACCATTTTACATGTATTTTTCTGTTACTCCTGAGTACCTCTTTGTCTAGATTGGTGGTAATTCCTCTATATTCTTCAGTTTTAATGTATGGCAAATTATATGTAATGAAGTAAAGAAAAAGTATAATTGTCCATAATTTACTTTAGATGGATAGTGTTTGTGAGCTAGCAAAAGTTTATTATATTTTATATATAAATTATACATGTATATAGAAAATAATTCTACATCTTGAGAAAGACCAAATAGGGTTCTGTAAGCCAGGCATTCTTCTGTAGCTTCTCTCTTTGGAAACTGCTACTGGAATTATTCCTACAGAGGGTCTTCTCCCTTGTTCTCTTTTCTTAAAATACCTCTCCCAATTTAGAACCCCAAAGGGGTTGCTTTTTTGGCCTATCACATCTATGCAAATCCTCACCTGAGGATATTTTTCTGTTTATCTTCAGATAATGTGGGAGGAAGAGAGAGAAACATCAACGTGAGAGGGGCACATCAACTGGTTGCCTCCGACACAACCTCAATCAGGGCTGGGGATGAACCACAACCAAGTTACGTGCCCTTGACTGGAATTGAACCTGCGACTCATTGGTCTGAGGGCTGATGCTCTAACTGCTGAGCCAAACCAGCCAGGTTGCAGTTGAACATTTTTCATAAAGCTTCTTTTCCAAGAGTAACCTGAAGTGCTTTGCACATTCACTGGCTGATCTTGTATTTACCCTCCACTTCTCGCCCCCAGAAAAACAGGTAATTTGTCAGTGAATCTATACAAAGTAGTAGTTCCCAATATAAATATTTTATATAAATATTTTATCATCAGAAATGTCTTATTTCTCACTGAAGATTTACTTTTAGGGAAAGTAAAAAATAAGTAATAAATATAGCAAAACATCAATGAATTTAAATTTAATAGTCTCAATAGTATCATATACTTGTTAAATGGAGGTACCTTTTGTAAATTATTCAGTCTGCTACAATGGTGTCCCACATAATGTATAATTTTAAATTTGTAGTACCTCATAATAAAACAGTAAAATTAATTTTAATAATGTATTTAGTTTAATATATCCGAGCATTTAAACATGTAGTCAATGTAAAAATGAGATATCGTATATTATTTTTTTCATATAAAGTCTCTGAAATCCAGTATGCATTTTACAGCTACAGCACTTCTCCATCCAGACCAGCCATAATTCATGTGTTCAATAGCTGCAAGTAGCTAGTGGCTGCCATATCAGATCGTGAAGGTAGAGATTTTGCTGGTACTGTACTTTGGTAGATTCTTTGATCTTTATAGTAACTGTATGGCCCCTGGAGATCTGCCACTCATAAGTGGGAACTTTTGCTATAGCATCCTAACTATTCACTTGTTAAAATACAACACGGAAATACCCGTTTTTGATGAAAGGCACTTTAAAATCAGTTATACCTTTATAATGTTGAGTTTTTTCTGGAATTACGAATATTCAAAGGTCAGATATGTTTTATTTATATCCATTATAAAATGAGCATATGCCATTACGAAATTACAGTGGATTCACACTTACTCCTATACAGATTGATTCTTAGGAGGTAAACTGGCAAGAACATGTATTCCCTAAAGATGCCAATGGGCTTTTGAGCAATGACATCTGCCTGAAAAACTGGAGAAGCATCTATGGTTAGAAGATGGGAGAGAGCCAAACTTATTACTTCCTGACATTAGCATTTGGGGGTGATGGTATTGCCCTATCACATCAAGTCCTATTATATAGTCATGCATCATGGTGACACCAGACAAATATGAACTTCTCCAGGGCTTTAGTTAACCCAAAAGTTATTTCAGACATTATTCATTGATTCAGCCAAAAAAAAAAAGAGAGAGAGAAAGGGAGAGAGATGATTATCTTCTCTTTTCCCCACTATCACATGATGATCTATATGCTCAGTTTTACCATTTTTAAATATTGACCTTGACTCCTTCATATTCTTACAGGAAGAAAGACCATTAATGCCACCGTATTTCTTCATAATGGTTCAAGTCTTCATATTTTTTTGTCAAATTTCTGTAACACCTCAAAACAAGCACTGAAGCTAACCTTAATGGAAGAGCTTGTATTTCTGAAACATTGCTAAATTAAATATTGTTTTTTTAAAAAAGAAGAGCCCTGGCCAGCTTGGCTCAGCGGTTGGAGTATCGGCCTGTGGACCAGAGAGTCCTGGGTTCGGTTTCCGCTAGGGGCACGTACCAAAAAAAAAAGAAGAGCCCTGGCTGGCCGGCTTTCTCAGTGGTTA